GGGGGCCCAACACCCAGGGGTTAGGGTTTGGGTACAGTGAGTTCCAGAAGTTGTGCCCGTCCGTGGGTGGTCGCTGCCTCGATCTGCTGTTTTGGCGCCCTCGACCATGACCCTGGTTGCCGTTGTCGCGCCCTTGTCCGCATCCAAAGCCACCACGCTGCCCGGAGGAGGAACCATCACCATAGTTGCTGCCAAAAAAGTGTCCCCCGCTGCTGGAGTTGCTGCCGTGAGGAGAGTCGCACCCGCCGGTCCCGCCGTGCTATCCGCCTGCGTAGCTACTGCCGCCATGCCCCGCCAGCAGCGCCGTGCTACTGTTGCTGCCCAGGGGGGTCCATTGTCGGTCAAAGAGGAGGAGGGCCGACCGGACCTGAAGAAAACTCGGCATGGGATCTTGAAATTGAAGGAACGAGGTCTGAGCTTGGAGATCTTAGGGGAGGCCGCGTAGCATCTGAAGAATCAATTAGTGCTCTGAAACAGGGGCGTCGATGTCGTCCAACCAATCCGCAATCTTCCGGAGTTCTTGACAATAAGAGGCCATGGGGGTGGATCCCTTGACTGTGGTACGGAATTGGTGCTCGAGCTGCATGGCGCGAGCATGCTTGTTGTCGTGAAACAGATCATGAATCATCGTCCAGAGAGCAGAGGCAGAGGAGGTGGAGGTCAGAACCAAATCAGAGACTTCATCAGTAATAGTGGAAAGAATCCAGCCTTGGAGAATGGCGTCAAGTTGGTACCATTCCTCATCATCTTTTGAGGTAGGGACAATAGATCCGTCAAGGTAGGCGTGGAGGGTGAACCGCCGGGCAAGGAGGAGGAACAAGCGGCTCCACTTTTTGTAGTTTGGTTGAGAAAAAACTGAGTTGGATAAGGACATGTAATTTGACATTGGAGAGAGAAAAAGCCAGATGTGGAGGTTTTTGGATGGTAGATTGAGAGGTGACCTCGCTTTTGGCCATGGTAGAGAGAGGAGTGGCCGGCCGTGAGAGAGAGAGAGAGTGGCGACGGCGTTGGTGCCTCGGCGAGGGAGGAGGGAGGCCGAAAGTCAGAGAGGGAAAATTAGGGTTTTTGGTTAGGCTCCGATACCATGAAGAAGAATTATTTTCATTGATTGAATTGTGTGAAGAGTACATGTATATATACAAAGGTCTCAATCCTAGTTATGGTAGGAGAGATATTCTAGGAAACATATACAAGTATGGTAACAATAATAATACAATAATATTAAATATATTTTATATATTTAACAAAAATGCTAGTATGTGTATATGTGTGTCAGGGGCGGACCCACTATGGTGCAAGTGGCGTCACCTGCAGTCACTCCAAAAAAAAAAAATTTAAAAATTCAATACTCAAAACGACGTCGTTTTGATATAATAAAAAAAATACTCAATCACCTTATCCTTGGACGGTTGGACCGAATCACAGCCTCACAGCACAAATTAAGGTAGGCCAGGTAAGAACGGTCTGGATTCTTTGGTGTTTCGATCCTTTTCCATTTTTTAGAATATTCGTGAATCAAAAAATACTGAAATACTCAAGCGTCGTCGATTACCACAACCGGCAATAGGTTATTTTAACAAGGTAATAGAAATCATTATTTATCTCCTTCCTCCATTCAAACCCATCTCAAATTGGATAATCTCACCCTCTCAAATTCCATTACGAATTTTCCTTGATTCTGTTTGCTGTGGCGTGCGGGAAGACACCAGAAGATCGACTCGCCGACTGGAGGAGGTGGCCGGCTGGCTTAGGCGTGTCGGGTTGGGACTTGGGGGAGGCACCGAGGCAGTAACTAAGTAAGGGCTTCGGCTATTGAATGCTCCAATTAAAATTGAAATTGAAATCATGATTTTGTTTAAGTTTTTATATATTCCGTATATAATAGAAATATAGAATTATACTTTGGATTTTTTTACCTTAGATACTATGGAGTTTTTTTGCACCTTAGGTACTTTTGATATTGATTTTGCACCTCAATGATTTTTTTAAGCATATACTCCGTATTATGTCTTCTTTTAATTCTCAATTAATTTTGTAATTGATACTAAATTATTAGTTTCAGAAGGAGAACTGAAGGAGTGAAGAGTGAATATTTTTCAAACAATGAAAGGTAACACAAGTTGTGATATTTTAGATTATTATTTTTTTATCAATAAAAAATTATGGTATTAAATATGAATTTGCTAATGGTTTATATTTTGTTAGGTTTGGAATTCTATTACAAAAGATTTAAACCTACACCACCAATTGAAGTAACTCAAACAAGAAGTCCAATTGAAGAACTTCAACCCCAACCTCCAATTGGAGAAGCTCGAACAAGAAGTCCAATTGACGAACTTCAATCCCAACCTCCAATCGAAGAAGCTCAAACAAGAAGTCCGATTGAAGAACTTCAACCCCAAGCTCAATTTCAAGAAACTCTAAATGAGTTTGACACATCAAATCTTGAAGCCGATCCGGGGAAAAGAGTTCCAATCCATTCTATGACAAAGAATCCGGATGAGAGAGAAAGTATTCGTAGAAGGTACTTACTCATGGGTCCAACACAACCAATGCTTACATCTTTTCCTCAAACTCTCATTTATGATGTCCCTCGAAGATTCAACCCAAAATGGTATGTGGAATTCCGTGGTTGGTTAGAGTATAGTGAATCGAAAGATGCTTGTTATTGTCTCTATTGTTACCTTTTCAACATAGAGTTTGGTAGTTCAAGCTATGGTCATGATGCATTTGTTGGGACGGGATTTAGGTGTTGGAATAAGAAAAGCAGGTTAAGAGTTCATATGGGGGACCATAAAAGTGTTCATAGTAAATGTTTTCAAGTTGGGCAAGATTTGATGAATAGATCAAAACATATTGACATTCCTCTTTCAAATATTTCTGATCAAGAAAAAAAAGAATATCGTATTCGGTTGAAGACATCTTTGATTTGTGTCAGATTTCTTTTAAGAAATGGTCTTCCTTTTCGTGGGCATGATGAATCTGAAAGTTGAAGTAGAAAGGGGTTGTTTCTTGAGACTTTGAATTTGTATGTCATGCCAAATGAAGAAATGTGGAGTGTGGTTTTAACTAATGCTCCTCACAATAATAAGATGACATCTCCAAAGATTCAAAAAGATCTCGCTATTGCTTGTGCTGATTTAACTTTACAGGGCATAGTTCAAGAAATTGGAGATGACTATTATGACATAATGTTCAAGCTATATTTGGCTTTTTTTGTAGTATTTTCAAGCAACAGAACATAGAAATATGATATTGTAATGTTTGTGTTTTGTTATGTAATATGACTTTGGTACTTTTATGACTTAATATTAATCTTATTTAGTCTTCTTTATTCTGTATCTGTTAAAATTTTTATGAACCCACTATACATATTTTCTGGGTCCGCCCCTATGTGTGTGTGTATTATGTTATCTATCTAAATTTCTATATTGATCAGAATGTCGTATAGAAAGTGTGTCGATTTGGGAAGTTTGAACCGAAAAAGTTCAAAGAGAAGCAAAGCCACCACTACGTCAGAAGGTTCAAGCCTTGTGTGACTGGGAAAAGAGATCAACATGAAGGGAGAGAGTGAATTGATGAATTGTATTTCTCTTTTTCTATGAGAGGTGAGAGATGTAGAAATAACAGAAAAACAAAGCAAAGAGCAGAGGGAGCCTTATGGAAGAAGAAGAAGAAGAAGAAAAAAGCAAAGGAGCTCTGCTATGGGTACAATCATCGGAAGAGAGGAATTGAAGGAGAGGGTTAGATTAATTAAGTCAATTACTTCTATCTAGATGACTTTAGGTTTCAGCTCCTATTTTGAGAAAATTACATGTGTTTTACTTCTAAGAGTAAATTCCATAAATGGTACTTTATAACAGAGGGGTTTCCCTAATTAGTCCTCTATTATCAAATATTACTCAAGTGGTCCTTCTTTTATGGGTATCTTTCCACAAATAGTCTTTTTTATCTTCTATCATGTTGGTGTTAATTTGAGGGCTAAAAGTGTAATTTCACAATGACATTATATCTTTTTTGTCATACACAGTTCCAAAGGCTGTTCTGTTTGCGTCGTTTGTGAATTACAATCGCTTTCTACTACAACCATATTCTACAAATGTGGTTTTTTGTCGTATTTCTAGCCCACAATCATAGTCATTATTTTTATGTTATCTGCTTAGCCAATAGCAGAACACGTCACTAGACATAATGTTGATGTCAAATTATACTTTTAGCTTTTAAATTAACACTAACATGGCAGAAGATAAAAAATGATCATTTGTGGAAAGACACCCTTAAAAAAAGGACTACGGGGATAATATTTGATAATAGAAGACTAAATACGAAAACCGCCCTGTTATAAAGGACCAATTATAGAATTTACTCTACTTCTAATTTGGTCCTTTTCTCTATATTCATATCCTCTCCCGTCTCCTAAAAAGGTTCTACATTATATTTCTTTTTGTCGTTCAAAAAAAAGGCTCTACTTTTCACATATAGAAACAATATTTTGCCCTTATAATTTCTCTTTTTTACATTACTATCAACCACATAATTTTATTTTTCTCAATTTTCATATTTAATCAAGAGTGGATCTTTTTTTATGGGACATAGAGAGTATGTTATTTTAGGATTTTTAGCCAATATGAAAATCGATGGAATTACAACCATCGCATATAATGATGGCATCACAAGAATAGCAAAAAACATATAGTCCATGTCTATGATTGACGTCTCAAACATTCAACAAATCCAACGCAATAGCATGAAGATTTATCATTTAAAAAAGCTGAGAAGAAGAAGAAGAAATTTCAACCATGGGGTTTGATCCCAGAACCACACTGGAAGTTCTCATTACACGCTTCACCAACAATGACAGAGTATTGGTGAACAGGCTTAGAGAGAAAGGCAGGCAACTGGGCAAGCAACTGGCACACACACTCGTCGTCCACTTCCCGCAGCCACCGGCAGCAAATCTCCTCTTCCGGCGTGCTCTCGCGGCGGTGCCTGCGGTGCCTTCTGTGGGGCCCGTGCCTGCGCGAGTGGTGTCCGTTATCGGGGCGTGCGGGGCCCGGGGCGGCGATGAGCGAAGGCGGCGCCGGCGGGGGGAGGGCGAACGGGAGGAACGAGCACGCGTGGTCAACGAGCGTGATCTGGGACGCGCACAGTGGGCCAATCACCTTCCAATGGCTCTCGGCCGCCATCGGGAAAACGCAAAGGAACACTAAAATGAATGCCTTCATCGTAGGAAAAGTGTGCAGAGCTAAGAAAAACTATGGCTTCTAGCTGTGTGTGAGTGATATATACTTGTGAATCATTTAGCATTTCCCGCGCTCTTGGGTTAGGTAAGTTGTCAAAAGAATGCCCAAAGACAAAATATGGGACGTTAATTAATTAGCAAGAGAGCTAGCTAAGATTGCAAATTAATTAGATCAATGGTAGATATGACTCATTCACTTTGTGTGATATTATTCAATTACTAGTTCAAGAGAAAACTATTTCTGCTCTGATATAATAATAGAAGTAAATCAAATACTCCCTCCGTTCCATAAAAATCCTTCTTCTTTCGCTTTTTTCTAATTCCCTAAAACACTTCCACTTTCTATTAAAAAATCACTTTTACCCCTACCTTTTCATACCTTACCTAATACATCATACTTTTTCACTAATAATCAAACTATATATCACATCTTATTTTTACCAGTCACATCAGGGAAAAAATTGGAAAGTCAACTAATATTACACTTTTCTTATTTTGGCCCAAAGTCAAAATAGGAAGTGTTTAAAGAAATGGAGGGAGTAGAAGTTTGGACTGTGCTTTGGAGAAGCAGTCTTTTTTCCAGCATTAGAAAACATTTTTCATAATATAGGAGCATAAATGATAATTGGGAATTAATCAATACTTTGTAGAAACTCTTGCAAATTTCACTCGACCTAGTAATTATTCCTAGACTTTAGACTAGTTGTCACATTACTTAGAAACTACGGAGTACTCATTAAATTTAGGCCCACTTACACATTATTTACTACTTCCTCAATCCCAAATTAAAGCATGTTTCTTTGTGCAAGTGTTTATTGGCTTATTACTGATATGCAGTTTTTAACTTTTAAACTGCTTATAAGTTAAATATTCTTTTGTCAAAATATAATGACTTAAATGATAGATAAATCACTTCTAAATATTCATAAATAGTGAGGAACAACTTTGTAAATAATCAGGTCAAACGAAGAAACAAGAAAACGGGCTTCAAAATAGGTACCAAAGACGTTATTTTTTTAGGCTTATAAGGAGCTTATAAATCAACTTATAAGTACATAGAAACATGTCATCAACTGACTTATAAATTAAAAATTACTTATAAGCAGTTTTAACTAGCTTATAAACACAGAGAAACACCTAAATTGCATGTTTACTATTCACATGGTCAAATTTTATACAATTTCTGTTCTCTATTTTTGTTAGTCATTTGATAAAATAATATAGTCATATCACCACTACTATTTTTTGTTAATCTTTTGATGTAGTTTTTAAATATGTAATTTTATTTTTTTAATTCTACACCGTTTTTCTTATAAAATGATTTTAAAAAAATTCAGTTAAACATCGTAAACCAAAATAGGCGATTTGAATTGGGACGGAGAGAGTACTTAGTAACTAACATATATAAAATAAAATATTTGACTTGATAAAATATTAATAACATAAAAGAAAAATATATGTGGCACTCTATCATTATCCCCTCCTTCAAAGTTTGTCTTGTCCTCAAGGCAAAATCTAGACAATATGGTGTTGACACGTACATAAGAGTTTTGCATTCCCAAACTTGTGGCATTCTCATTAGCATTTAGCATAAGAATCATGACTTGTTGAACTTGTCCCCTGGCTTGAGTGGTAGCAAGCCCACTCTTCAGGATTCATGGGAAAATTCACCCAGGTTCGAGCCCCAGCGAAGGCAGCAGTATTGGCTCTTTGTGCGTCATTAGCTTGAGAATAGTATGAACAGATACTACTTGTAATAGAGTCAATAGCATTCAAAAAAAAGAATCATGACTTGTTCTATAGCCAATTCTATAGGTGAGGCAGCTAATGTGAATCATACTTTCATACTTCCTCTGTCCTTTAAAGTTCTTTCCATTTTGACTTTATGGGGGATTAAGAGAGATATTTTTTATTGACTTTCTAAAAATTTCTTGAGTTGATAACTACAAATAAGATGTGATGAGTAAATTATTTGTAAAAATGTATGATGAGATAACTAAGGTAATACTTAGTAGAGGTAAAAGTGACTTTTTAATAAAAATAAGTACTTTGTGGGACAAAAAAAAAGAAAGGAGGAGTTTATGGGACGAAGGGAGTATTTAACAGCCTCGACATGAATTTTCATTGAGATGTTTTGGTTATGATCGAGGGGCACTGTGAAGACAACACGATTGCATTCAGTGTCAGGCACTGACTTAGAGGGTGTTTGGCAGTGCGCTGCTTTTAACAATTTAGCTTTTGCTTTGAGTGGAAGTGATTTTACTCTATTTGGCATGTCAGCTTCTGCTTTTCACCAATATTATTTTGTACATGGAACACCATTTCGGAGAAGCATGTATGATGTGCTTTTGCTTTCAGCTTTTGTAGAAATCACTTTATGTATAAGCTAATCACTTCCAAACACCCTCTTAGAGTTACAATTGAAATTCGCTTGGCATCACACAAGAAAATTAAATGTTGGATGGGATGAATTGAAGTGGTTGCTTGCAATGGTAGGGAGCTTGGGCTTACGAACGAATTTAACGCTATCCTTATATTTTTGAATTTTTTTTTCCTTTCACCTCTACATGATAGTTAGGGGTGTAAATGGATAACCGAAAATCCGATTACCGTCCGCATCCGTATTCGTTTAAATGGAAAAAATCCGCATCCGTTTTAAACGGATATTATCCGTATCCGATTAAGCACATCCGATTGATAAACGGATGCGGATTTGGTAATTACTGATCTGATCCGTTTAAAATCCGATCCGTGTATACATCCGTTTATATATCCGCATATCCAATTATCCGATCCGTTATACCAAATATAGGTAATAAAAAATTATCCGTAGTTAAAAAAAATTATCCGTAGTTTAGACTAATTAATATTTTTATGTATAAAGTATACTCCTAGTTTTCTAATTTCTACTCAGCCCACTAAGCCTAGGCCCAAAACCAC